TGAAGGTCCCCCTAACAATGTTATCTCAGGAGATTCATCGAAACCAAGTTTCTCTTCGTATCTACTATGAGCAATTAGACGAAAGCTTAACGTCAGTCCCGGGCCATCAAGGCTTAATGGTCCGAGGGAAAAGGAGCCCCTGTAACCTTTGTCGATTTGATGAAATGTAATTCTGTACGTGTGAAAGTCAGATTACGAAAGCACCGGTGCAAGCCCGCTAGTCTGGGTAAGTAAGGTTTACTGACGAAAAGAGAAGCTTTGCTGGGATTGCGTTGTCCCCCACGTCTGTTTTGGCTGGTGAGATTGACATGTCTGTTGAACCATCACTCAGCTGACAAGTTATTATTATTGCATATTATTTAAGCAATCTCGGAGGAGATTAGATAATAGTAAGATTATCGAAAAGCTGTTGACTAAGGCAAAGCAAGATCCTCAATTTTATGAAAAGAAATCGCCAGGAGACCATAAAGAAATAATCAGAGACCAAAAAGAGGCGTCTACAGAGAGCCTAATCGAAACAAGTAGAACTATAACAATTGGAGTTTGGCGTACAAGAGGCTAGGGCAAACGAAGTCATAGATTTTGCGGGTTTCGAACAATCTCTGACAGAAGATTGATGTTAAGTTTCCCTCTAGTATGGAAGTACATGATGAAGAGGTTCGAAGTTCAATGTCCACAGAAGACGGCGGCTGATTACAGATGAATTGGACGCCGGGTCAACACCCTTTTTTTCTTTCACACTTTCAATGAAGCACAAGTAATTCTTACTCAACTTTCTACCGCCACTCCTCACTTTCAGCGTATTCCCTAATCTATTAATTTCAATAGCCTCTCTTATCTTGCGTCTCGTAGCCGACATACCATATTCAACAGACCTATGCATACGAGACCATTCTACTTCATGTCGAGTCCCCATCATCATATTCCACAACTTCTGACTGTTCGACCCAGCATTTTGTGCTCCGCCAATCTTTGGCGGACTGGTCGACAATTCTCAGCAGCATAAAGTCAATCACGGGAGCCCATACACTTTTACCAGCCTGAGCTTGATAGTGGATCATATTTCTCTCGAAAAGAAGGTATTACCGAATAAAGTTCCAAAGTTTCTTTAAATATTCTCTTGATCCCGCCTTCTTCGAAAGAAAACATGATTGCAAGACTAAACCGTGAGAAAGGGTCTCTCCGACTAAAAATTTATTCCTTATTAAAGATACATTGTTATCAATAAAGAATATTTATTAATCAGGAATACAACTTTAACTCTTCTTACATCATCGTCAGATCATTTTCATCCCCAAGCCTCATACACTTAATAAGCATCGATCTTAAAATTCCAACCTTAGTTCTGTAACTACGGTTAGAAAGGAAATTAAGATAAAAATCAGCATATACTGCTTTCCTATAAGCATCTCTGTCTAATCCACCATTTCCCCTAACAACCATAACATACAAAAAAGATAATTTCCTATTTACTTCGAATTTCATTAATAATGTAATGTTTCTTTCATGCTGGCTGAGTGAAAGCAGGAAACATTCTAAATTGTCTTAACTATACTGCCAGATCGCAAATGAATCATCCAAATGTCCAACGGACAATTTAAGAATCAGAATTTCCTCTTGCATTAAACGTCCCTCAAACTTGACCATGTAGTTATTCTTTAAAATTGTGTGTCTGCTCATAAAACTTGCCGTCAAAGGTTAAATATGTACCAATCATGGACAGGCTAAGGAGCCTCAGAATGGAGGATAAACTCAATTTAATTCCATCCGCAATATCTGAATGCTCCTCCAAGGTGAGCATCAAAGCCTGAATGGCTCCTTCAACTGGAATATTTGTGTACATTGACACCAAGTGAAAACATTTGCTGGTCCACTAGTTTATCAAAATCATAAAGTTGTTAACCTAAATAAACAAAATTTTTGTCACTTTTCTTAAATGTCTACCTAGCAGTACCCTTATTCTAGCACTCAATCTACGCGAAAACCCTTCTTTATGCACCTTCGAAAGGCCATAACCAGACGGTACCTTAGCGACTCTTTGAAGTAGAGAATCCATTTTCCACTTCTCCATTTCCCCACTACTTAAGCCTAGTTCTAAGTCCCTCCGTAAGATCTTTCATTAACGGCTTTTTTGTATTAATCCAATTAAAATGCATAAGCATTTTCTCTAGATAACTTGAACAATCCAAGACAACTACCACTCCAACCTTATCTGCTGTCATGACAATTACATTATTACGAACTGAAGAATTTCTGCCTCGGCAACGGGCTGTCTCAACAACTTGAATTTGTTGCCGAGTGGACTCCGGCCGGCCTCGGCTCTAGTTGCTGCGTTACCGAAGCTAACTTTGCAACTGATTGTTCAGGACTAGTGAAGGGTGTCTGGTCTGCAGGGGTCAAGTGGCGAAGAGAGGGGAGGCGTATGTAGAGGAAAATTGTGTACAGACTCACCACGGTATCACTGAGCGCATTAAAGCTGGTTCTTCGGACGCTGGGAATGACACTGAGTGTGTTTTCGAATGTCTGAAAGGCAAGATATATATTCCATGTCAATCGGGTGAATGCAGAAAATGACTGTTCATTTCCCACTCAAAACACGCCCGCCAACAGACCAAGTTCTTTCTCCTTCCCCACCCCCAGGACTGGCTTGGCAACGCAATGAGGTGAAGCGTAAATGGCAGACAAGCGAGCCTTGATCAATGGGCCGTCGCGACTGCATTGCCAGGGCGACTGAGGAAGGGACAAAGGCTTCCTGTTTGGATGGTCGCCAATCGTTTCTCCTCACGACCGGCAAGGCAGTTGTCATTCCGAGCAAGCTGGTGGCCATTTTGATGCGATCTAGTTCCGATAATTCAACCAAAACGCCGCCCACAGCCAGACGTGGCGAATGGGCAAGGAAATCAACCTGGCCAGCCTTTGGGTCATGTGAGAGGAAGTTGACAGAATACCCAACGTTCCATTGGTGGGGCTTGAATAAACGCCGCCCAAAGATATGCGCTATTATGGCGACATTAATCATATCTATTGTTTGTTTTACGACAATAAATATAATTATGATTCTGATAATTAATAGCAAATTATGATAGTATTAATAATAATGATATCGATAATGGTGATTAAAATGATAATCACTGTTAATGCGGCCAAAATAACAAAGACTATAATTTTGATGGAGTTTTGAAAAAAGATAAAATAACATTTGTGCATAGAAGTAGAGTTTAGAAACTAACAGTAAATCAGTTATATGATATGTATTCACCATAGCTCATTTAAGGTGAGGAAGGACTGACAGTAGAATATTCCCACAATGAAAAGAGTAGAGCTGACGCTTTCATTGAATTTCACGTAGTCTTGCTTGCCCAAAAGGAGTTCTCATCCAGGGTGAACTGCAGTTCCCATCCCGCATTGGTCTTATCAAACAACCCCAGCGGGAGTCGAACCGTAACAGTGCAGAATAGGAGCTTGAAACGTTGACCACTCGGCCACATTGCCACGAGTGCCCTTGGGTCACAGGGCAGATGTGAATTTTAAGGAAAGTCAGGCCT